CCCCCCCCCCCCCCCCCCCACCGACCTGGCTTGAAGCTTGTCTCATAGCCTCGGTGTGGCTTTCCACCACACGCAGCCGCGATGGCCACAAAGTGGTCAGGAAGGCTTTGAGCTAGCTGGTGAACCTTGCTGTCCCACTACAAAACATACCTGTGTCCCAAAATCCCTACGTTTTTTTAAGGAACTATATATAGAAANNGAAACCAGAATAAGGAACCCTAAAACCTTATGTGTTTTCGGCTACAGATAGGGGTCATTTCAACTTTCAGTTCCAAAGGTTTAGCTAAGGCACCATGAGCCCTCCGTTGGAACAGCCGTATGCATAGACACGGTCCAGGTCTACGCAGTATTGCTCCCCTAATCTTGTGAGAAGGGAGCGGATGAACCCCACGTCATCATAGCAGGTGGCCCAATCGCAAGTGTGGCAATGTCCCTTCTTGATCTGGCAGCTGGAATAACACAAGCCCGTCGAAGTTCTGCTCACATTGCCTAGGTTCCCCAGGAGCCCCTCAAGAATAAGGGTCACCTTAATCCTACTATTTGGTGGTAATAAAGGAACCCAAAAAAAAAGGGCAAAAGGGTACTACTGCGGAACCCAGCTGCAGGATTGCATAGATTGGTTGGAACTCGAGGCTCCAACAGCGTTCCAGGAAGTCTGGCCACTCCCATCGGCAGTATCATTCATGCCTTCAGGTTGGCGGTTTAGGGTTTAGGGTTTAGGGTTTGAGGGTCCAAGATGCTCTGTCTTCAGGGCACTCACTTCCGGAGAATGCCTTATCCTAGAACGTGAACAGACATTCACTGCGATCTCCCGGGGTTTCCCCTGCCAAAAAGTATCGGGGCTTGGGAAGCAGCTAGGGATTGAGAAATCTGCGATCAACCGATGTTGGTGCCTACTTCTAATCATCGTCTTAGGCAAGAGAATAGGCATGCATTCGCTCCTTGTCTGTGTCTCTGCTCGTCTTCCTCTCTCTCTCTATCTCTCTATCTCTCTATCTATCTCTATCTATCCATCTCTCTATCTATGCGTGCATACATGCACATAAAAAAAGACATATACATATACATGTACATATACACATACAGGAAACATATACATGTACCTACGCATAGATCTACATATCTATATATATATATATGTATGTCTGTATGTATAACATATACACATATATACATGTACATGTACATATACAGACATTTACAGACACATATACATGTACATTATACATACTTACATCTCTCTGTCTCTGTCTCACTGTCTCGTCTGCACTCATCCTTTTCGTCTTGCGCAGCCTTCTGGGTACACTGCCAGGAAACCAGCCTGCTCTGCCAAGGGCCCAAGACCGTACCTGTTGTGGTACCTCGGGTACTTCAAAGAACACTTCCGGAATCAGAATCTCTGTTTGGAAAACAATAAGCCTGGTGTAACCTTCCGCCGGTGCCGCAATCGACAGACAACACAACCAATGTTACAACACACAAGTTTAACCCTGTGACGCGACCTCTCAGGTGAGGACACTGTCTGTTGGTATCCTCTTCGCAAGAATCTATCGCGAAAATAAGCGACATTTGTAAATAGTGGGGCTTTGAAGAGACTCGTAAGCCATAAGAGGAGCCTCTTACGACTATACGTGGCATCAAACCCATGACTCTGCAAAGCTTTGGGTTTCGGGCTTAAGGGCTATAGGGTTTAGGGTTTAGTATGAACTCACAGCAAAGACTCAGAAATGCTAAACAGGTGATCTCAAAGCAACCGACCAAGACGACTTACGAACCCGAACACCGTTCCCGAATTTAAACCAGTAATGTAGGGGCCGTAATAATTAGAATATGGTTTTGGGGTTCCATATTATAAGTATATATAGCACAATATACCCCCAAACCCTATTCTAATTGTTAAGGCCCCTACAGTAGGAAGCTCCTAGTAAGAGTCAGAAACTTAGAGAAGCCTTCGAACTAGGGGGTTTCATTAGGGTGTAGCGTTTAGGGTTCAGAGTTTAGGGTTTACGGTTTAATTCTGAACTAAGCTAGCAATGTCTCAAATGGGGCTATGGCGCAGGAGTATCTAGGCTTGCTTCCCGTGCAAGCGAATAGCGGGAAAAAACTCTTTGTACTCCGAAGAAGCATTCCCAAAAGCCGGTAGACCCTGCACCCTCAAACCCAAAGCTGTTCAGTCCTGAACGCCCTATCCCCTTAACCGATACACCCTTGAGCCTTACCCTCCTAAATTGTTGTGGACTTTTCACCAGGTGCCAGGACATCCATCCCAAAACTCTCAGCCCCACCCCTAAAACCTACATCCTACAACGGCTTAGGGTTTAGGCCGCCTCCAGTAAAACTACAACTCCCTAAGCCAGTGTTTCTCGAACTGGTAAAGCCCAAACCCAGGGTTTGGTTTAGACGTCTAGTGTTAGGGTTTATTTTTTGTCAAGGCTCTTTTAGGGTTTATAGGGTTTAGGGTTTGTCCGAGTGTTGACGTTCTGACCATCTCTCGGAACCTAAACCCTATAAACCCTAAACCAAGAATAGAGCACTCTCAAAGTGCAGGCTTTCCGGGCTCCGGGTCTTTAGGGTTAGGGGCTGTCTTGGCTTTTCGGGCTCAGGACTCAGGGTTGCAGCCCAAAGGATAGCAAAACCTTGAACGCGTGTGATGTCTGGCCTTTATGACCATGTACATGGAGCCCGCTCTCTAAAGTAAAGAATGAACGCAAGCTTTGCTACGAACATCTAATGAACCGGCCAAGGTTCGCAGAAGCATGTCCGCCCCAGCCGTGGAATATCAAGACAGCAGGAACTGGCTTTCCTTTGCTAGGGTTTAGGGTTCAGGGTTTTACTACTCTTGCGCTTACAGCAATGCTGGGGTTGGGGTCACGTTTACCCTTGCACTTCAACTGTTGCTGCCACTTTGGTCGCTATTGTCGTCGCTTATATCGGTTTTGTTATGGCTGTTGTGGTAGTCTTGGGGGTAGCGGTGGCCGCTGTTGGCGCTGTCAGACCGTTGACACGTAGTTCCGAAGGCTGGATACCAATGATTGTAAACCAGTGACCTCGCGATGAACTGCTGGAAGGTTTCTCGGTTCTGCATATCCCTCCTCCTACTCCATACCCACACTACACATGCTGCGCTGCTGCTTGTGCTACTGCTAATGCTACCGCTACTGCTGCTGTACGGCTACGGCTACGGCTACCGCCACTGCCGCTGCCTCCTCGAATGCGACTGCTACTGCAAATTACGGCCACTTCTACTGCTCCTGCTCCTCCTGCTGCTGCTGCGTCTGCTGATCCTGCTACTGCTGCTGCTACTCCCCTGCTCCTACTCCGACTATTACTACTACGACTACGACTACGACTACGCCGAC